GCGACAGAGAGGAAACACTAACTTTTCATTTCTAGGACTCGAGAGACTCGAGGGACGTTTTCAATCGTCGCGGCTCATCAAAGCCCACGTCGATATCTACAAAGCTCTCCGTCTAGTTGCCGTTCCTTTTCGCTCTCCGGCGATCTACCGTGGCTCACATTCGTATTCTGTGCCTCAGTGCGCGACTGTCGTCAGTATGCAGTGATTGGTATTACCGTGCACGTTCAACGTCGGGCCGAGGTAAGCCCTACCGGCGCGGACTGCAGACTGCGCCAGACGGCGGTCGAGCGACGGCTGACAGGAATCGGTACCAGGTATCAGGGGATCTGCACGGCTAGGCCAGGCCGCCAGCGGTCCTCTCACTCTCCACTGGACACATGTGGGTCAGCAGGGACTCGGCGGAGACCTGCCGGCACGTCAAGGCGAGGCCGGGCGAGTGGGAGAGCGGGGGGGCACAGAGCCAAGGGCGAGGGGCGGGCGGGGGTGCGAGAGGTGCGAGTGGGTCAGGTGGGTGCTGGGAAGGGGACGACCACCACACGCACAGCACGGTGGCGATAACAGGACCGCTCACGTATAATCTGCCGCTGCTGATCCCCAGTGGGCGGACAATCGACAGAAGACCGTTCGTCTGGGTACATTCACTGGGACGCTCCCGGTTCGATTAGTATTTATATCGGCCGATACGCACGCTTCTGATGCAGTACTTGAAGAGAGATACGCATCTCGAATAGCCTTGGCGTGGGCGAGACAAGAACCGACCGCAAAGCACCCGCCAAATATGTCCCCTTGAACCTGACCACAGCCTGTCGGTTACAAACTTTATAAATTTTACCTCCATTGAAATTCGAAAGTGTCCGGCAAATGAACTGCGCGTGCCGTATGCAACCTTTACATCTTGTGACCGCCAACCGTGCTCCGATCAGTCTGATACCGTGCTCTTCGTGTTGCGCAGGCATGGAGCAGCCGATACCGTCTGCGTCAGATGATACCGTCTGTGAAGACATTCGTCCCGCCACCTCTCCGCGGCAGTCACAGAAGGCCACACACAGTCTTTAGCCGCGCCGTCTGTCTTTGGCGCCGACCCACCTGATAAATATTTATAGTCGACGTATCGCAGCCCGCGTCTATCTCCGTGTGACGGCTGCACATCGAGATGTGTCCGAGCCCACGACCGTAAATATCTCCCACAGCCGCACACGCACCGATCGGATCGCTTACCTCGCCGCTCGCTCTGGGCGGCAGCGGCACCGGCCAGGTAGCTGTAGGTCACAGCCACTTGCGCCATCGCCTTTGATGTGTTAATTCGTTACGGCGCTCCGAACGCAGCCGGCGAGCAGGTGAAATTCATAACCGAGCCACGCTCGTCGTATATCATGGTCTGGTGAGGCGCCCGTGGGCCTCTCGAGCTGTAATTACCCGCTCGGACGTGCCGCCCTCCGTATTGGTCATCACCGTGTAACGTTTATCTCCAAGTAACGATGATAAGACGGCTGAAAATTACGGCACGCGAGCGTGGATCGACGACACAAAACAGAACTGCTCGGCTTCTCAAGTGGAGCGCGTTTCTAGATGCTCGGGATAAAAAGATGCGTGCGTCATATGAGTACATGTCGAAGGCGCGGTGTGAACAGGTAAAAAGAGCATTCAGACCCAGGCGATCTATGTAGTAAGGTCGGTGTTTTGACGGTAGGACTCGAATCAGGGCATAAATAGGTCCATGATACGGTTTTATTGCTTGTAATATTGGGCTGTCTAATAGCCAATATCACATCAACTACTTTCTCCTATCTCGCTTGACGATTAAATGGGAGAATAATGAAGATCCAATATCTTTGGACAAGGTTAAAGGTCAGAAGACCAATCATGTGCCCAGGCACCAAGGTTCATTTAAAACCGTGTGTCAAGGTTTACTTTACAGCACTATTTATAGTTGTGCATCTACATCAGCGCAGTACTAAACGAAATGTTGATTGATAAATATGCAAACGATATATACCATCTTAAATGGACGAAGACTGCTGAACGTAGCGGTCCTAGACCGCAATGTTCGTTATCATGCGTTCTGTGTCTTGTTCTCCATAGCGTAGCTCCAATTTCCGAATCTGCATTACGGTTGAGTAAGAATGGCGACGGTTTTTGTTCTGTCGGGTCAGCGTCTCCTTAACCTTACCCGATGCATCGAAGATAAACTGTTGTGGAACATGATCCGGAAAGCCAGCAAGCAGAGGAACCCCAGCTGGGCCGTAGTAAAAACCGTCAGAAGACGTTCACCTAAACAAAAGGCAGAGGAAGTAGAGATGGCAAAATGTGGACCCGGGGACCCGGTCCAAAGAACCAGTCTGGACCCATATGGGTCCAGACCGGTTCCTGGAAATTTTCTGACGGGTCCAACCGGGTCCTACCATAAACTATACATCTTGCACACTACACATTATTGCAAAATATGAAGTGAATGAAGTGAATGTTTCTTTGCACACAGTACCTCATGAGTATTCTCAGTGGGAAATAGGCTGTTTTACATGATGCAACTAATGATACCTACAAGTAGCTTGTATTCATTGACTTTTGGGAAACGGGTCCAACTGGTTCCGATTCCAACTAAGACCGGGTCCGACTGGTTCCAGAAATGTCCAGCTGGGTCTGGTTCGAGTCTGGTTCCCAAAATTTTCATCTTTTGCCACCTCTAAGAGGAAGCTCGTGACTCCGGCATCGCACGCCCGTTATCGGCAGCAAACAACAAATTCCCACGAGAGTTCCGCTTCCAGGATCCCGTATATCAGACAGAGGGAGGTCGGGTCAGCCGACGGGCGACATTCAATAACGGTCTGATTACGGGGGTGGGCACGGGACCGGCCATCAATAACACCTTGTTCCGGGCGAGACCCGACCCGGAATGCATATTCATGAGGGCCACCGGGGGTTAGGGACCGTGTTCCGGCCCCACGAGCCGTCCGCTCGCGTGGATCAAATGTCGCTACATGCCGGGACTAGCCGAGGCGGCCTCCCACCCCGGGGTCCTCGGCCCGTACCCACCTCGCTTCAGCAGGGTTTCCCAGTCCGCGCACCGGCCACCAGTCGAGTACGACAGACAGCGTGATCTGTTGATCTGACGTGGCGGTACGGAGGAGCGCCCGCTACCTCTGTGCTTTATCCGCCATATCGGAGCGGGCAGAGAGGAGATGCCTTTGACGTCCACCATCTGTCTGGATAGTAAATAGGCCCGCCGATGGAGGAATGTTTAGAGAACGCCAGACGGCCCAAGTGCCGCGTGACAATTAGGCTCATTGACAGGCCCCTCGGGATCACAGGGAAGCTATTGGCTCGTGTCGCCTGATGCTGGTAATGAATTGAATCAACAAATCGAATGCAGATGATGTTTTGACAGTGAATTGCATTTCAATTTTATTTCGTCTGTACTGATGCCTTATTGTCGTACACGGGCTAAATTTGGCTATACATAATACATATGCTACAAATCCAAGACGTCACCGGCGCTGAAGACTTGTCACAACTGCGGAGCATGAGCGCCTCTCCACTCTAAGGAGGCCCAGGCGAGCAGCGTGCACCTTTGCACAGTGAACAGTGCACATAGGGGACACAGTAACACAGTGACATTTATTTTCTGCAGAGAGTGAGCGTCAGGGTCACACCACCCCAGAATGGGTGAAAGGGTAGGCCACACCGCAGTAGGCGCAAGAATAGCCACACCGCACTGGAGGGGTGGTCAGATTCACTACGTTGGGCAAGCATAACGACGCCTGCAGTGCTTACATTAACTCCGTCAGACGGAGCGGGCCACCATAGAGCTATAGGGTTCACGAAGTAGTTTTGGACGGTCAATTACATTCGGATCCGGCTGCTAGTGAGAAGAAGAGACTTAGAGATTGGTGACACTGGCAGGGAATGTTGTCTGAGCCTGCTTACATCACACAAGTCACTACATCACTATAGTGATATAGTGACTTTTACTATAAACCGTCACACGATGAGGAAGAGACGGTGAGTGAGACCTGTCCCTGGCAGCCTGCGCAGTGGGTCGCTGTCGCCATAAAACCATCAGACACCAGCTGTGCAACTAGCTTCCCTTTTGTCCATGCGCCCCTTTACGGCAATGCAGTCACTGCCAGACCACCACCTCTGCGGCTGCAGTCACATTTCTACCCACATTGACGATTGTCTGCGACCAGAGGCCGCAGGAACAGACGCTGATAGTGATAGACTGTCTGATTGCACACAGAACGTAGGCACCACAGAAGAATGCCAGCACCATGCAAATGACGCCAACCGAAAGACGAAACGCCTAACCTGAGCCAAACTGCAAGTCACATCGGGTACCTCTATGGAAATCGGCACTATACAGCTAATAGATTATACCAAACCATTAGTCTTCGAATGTGTTCAGGCAACAGGATTCGTTTCTAGCTCGACTCCCTCTGGGGCTAATGCTGGCTGCCATGGACCGTTGACTCCGCACCGGTCTCTGTTATGCCGATGTGAACGTGAGGGTTGTATCTAATCGACGAGCGTGACCGCTAGTAATGTGACAGAGGGCACCGGTATGCAAATGCCGATGGCCGGCCTGGCCGATAGCGCGCGGCCAAAGGTATCGCCCGAGCCGATCTTAAAGGCTCGTTTTCAGCGGTGGACCGATTGCTCAAACAGGCCCAGGTAGGTTCTTCAGACGTTTTAACAGCGCCTCAACTGATAGAATGGCGCTGGGTAATTAATCAGCGCTAGTGCTTAAGTGTTGCTCGCGGCATCTCACGTAAAATGATGTAGGTGAATGAGAGCCAGAGAAAATAAAAAACAACTAACTTCATCTTCGTCCCAGAAAGCGACATTCGGCATACACGGAAACAGATAACAGCTCAATACTCGCAACCTGTAGACTAAATTCTTCCAATACTTAGCGTGTATGCGTTGGCCACTACAATTTGTCACATCGTTGCAGCTGCTGTAATCCGTCTGCGTTTCTGATATCTGAATACCGTTCTTTTCAGGTAACAACGTGGCTGCTGGCCGCGCGATTGACGAGAAGTCGGAGCAGTGGTTCGGAGCTTCAGTGACCTCGACCCCTGGCCGAGACAACACAGGAGTAGTAGTGGTAAGTGGAGAGTTGTTGGTGATCCGTGGGCCAATCAACAGGGAATGGGAGATATCTGAGTGGTAGTGATGGCTCGTGCAGATACCGTATAGATCACGTGACCGGGATATCGATCGTGACCCCTGTGGAGGAGAGCCGCCGAGATGTAAGTATGCAGAGTCCGTCACAGACATACCATGCTCCCGGAGAGACTCGCGGTCCGGGACAGCTGTGTGGGGTCACGCCGGGTCACGCCGGGTCAGGCCACTGTCGGCTGTCGCAGGACGTGATCGATGTCTATCTCAGTCCCCATGCCAAAGTTGGTGCCGTACGGCGTTCTGTGATCGTCATCAGCAGTCAGAAGACGGAGGACAGAGACGGGTCGTGGCATCCGAATGGCATCTGAGCGGAGAAGAAACGGTATCCGAACGGCAGAGGAACGTCAGAGGGAGGGCAGAGAGATGACGGAGAGACTGCGGAAGGATGAGAGAGGCTGCGTAGTCCGCATTAGCGAAACAGAAGAAAAGCAGAGAAACAAGGAAAGGCAGCGGAGAGTTGGCGGAAGGATGAGAAGAAACGGCGGAAGGACGACAGAAGCCGACCCGCAGGCCGGCTCAAAGGTCGGTGTTGGGGAGAACCGAGCGTCAGAGACGGTGACCCAGTGATCCGGTTGGCGGGAGACCTCAGCCCCATGTTCCTCTGTGCTCAGTGACGCGTCGACAAGCGGCTCGTGCTGCACCGCGTGTTTATATAAGCCAGTCGGGGCGGCGGAAGGCGTGTGATGGGGGCGAGACGGCTGCGCGGCGGTGAAGCATGCAGGGGCGCCGGGCCAGGTGTTTTTGTCGGAGACACCCACCAGGCGCACTGCTGCAGGCTGAAGAGCTGCGCGTACTGCGGGAGCTGAACGGGCCATGATCGCACCCAGCGGGTCGCGATGGCCCCTCGTAGCGGGGAATGTCCCATTCAGCCCACTGCTGACGCCCAAAACGGAAGCAACGCAAAAACAGTCGCAACTGCTGCTTTTTGCATCAGGGTGCTTCCCCTTTTAAAGTGGTCATTGTTGGGGTCAGCAGGGAGTGCCGCACAGTCACAGTGACGTCCCACTGAGGTCTCCAGGGGTCACTCTGAGGTCAGGACCGTGCCGATCGGACGCTGTGACCGGTCGCAGCGGCGGGTTTTGTGAAGAGGTCCTGCGGAGAGCCACACAGAGCCAGAATACCAAGCGGTCGTCGAGTGCACGGGAGAGAGCGTTCGACACCGATAGATTGACAGGCGGCGCGAGTTTGGATGGACAGGACACGACAGATGCTGGCCACAGGCGCAGCCAGGAGCCGTCTCCGGCTGCAGGTCACTAAAATACTGCCGTGTTCCGCCGAGAATCCATGTCAAATAAAAATGGATGAAAGTTTCCAGGACCCGGCTTCCCGCTGCAGCGTGGCTGCAGTGATTTTAACAGCGTCTGCCAGTCAAATGCACCGATGACAGCTACAACAGTGAGAGTGACCAGCCGATGACCTCAGATCTTTGAACGTAAAACGACCCGTCGTTGGGCGGAGAACGAGACGAGTCGTTAGCGCGGCAGTTGGAGCGCGTCGGCGACGAAAGCGGCGCAGCGACGCCGACCTGGTCGGTAAATCACCAGCAAACACGTCAGGAATGACCGAGCCGACACGCACCGTTCGTTCGTTCGGCCGGGCGTCCTCCGTCACCGCGCTGCGACCGTCACCGCCGCGCCACGAATGCCTTCATGGTAACCCAGCGATGCGCACAATACGGCGCACGAGCGTGGCTTACTCCGAACAGCCCACATCTTGTGCTCCGACTTCTCCTGAAAGCGCACACCATGGATCAGAATCCGACCCACGCCGGCCGGCCGGACATTCCACCCACATCGCTCGTCGCCTTCCGACGAAGAGCCGACGAGCGTCTCACTCGCGCCCGGCCGAGGCGTCGTCGGCGATGCCGGGGCCATGCCGATCCGTCGGCCGATTATGCGCGAGACGCGAACCATGCGCCGGCATAGCGGCTGCCAGGGGTCCCGTTCCCACCGGGGCGAGGCGGGCGTGCGACCTCAGCGAACGCAGATCGGTCATACGGCACTCGGTGCTTATTTCGACTGCATGAGCTGTGATGTCGAACGTGTGTGCCCAAGTCAACGCGATATGACTGGCGAGGGAGGGCGGTTCGAACACATGTAAATCCCAGATAAGCATTCATAGGAGGGTGTTCACGTTTCATGTGCCAATCTATCACCTGCAAAAAGCAGAAGCCGCTGCAAATGCATGCCACCTGTCATTTCGACCAGCAGCCCATTAGAAACAAACGCAAATAATCGCATCGATTTTACTGCAGTCACAGCTATTTGTATATTTTCATTGCACGCTTCAGACGAAACACTTCTCTTGACAACTTAAGCCCCGAATTTATGAGCAATTTTAGAACGTCATGCAGGTTAACAACCACCTTCTTTATAGCCATTGTTGAGCTTTGACAGCAAGGCTTGCTCACTGCATATTCCAATACATCTCAGCATTATTGATTGCCTCCGGGAAGCCCTAAAGTGAAGAACAAACAGCGCACAGCGATAGAGCCCTGGTTCAAAAAGCTCTCGGGACTCTCCTCTCCCTCCATCCACTCAGCTGCGTGACGGCCGGCCGTCCGGTGCGCACAATCGCCATGCTAATATATTCATGTTTAATGCTTGTAGGAGCATAGATTGGCTCCGAATAACGATCGGGCAGAGACGAATGGGCTATGATTGCGAGTCGGGCGCCGGGGCACGCGCGCCGAACAAGACGAACAGCGTGAAGCGTTCACTTACAGGCCGGTCGGGGAGGGTCTCACGCGTCTCGGGTGACCGCCCCGCTGTCAGCGAACATTGGCTGAAGATGGAGAGGGCCGTGTTGGAGCGCTGTTCAAAGCGCTGATCCGACCTGTTGTGGCATATTGCTTTTGTTGTGAGAGGATTGATTGCGGGTTTGTTTGGGAAGGTCTTGTGCTGCCACAGCGATCACTCCTTTGTTTAACCCGCGAGTTGCTGGGGAGGGGGGGGGGGGCGTTAAACGCCCCCACTTTTTCGCCGGGCCATAACTGTGTCAGAAGTGGTATGATTATTGAAGTGCGTGAAATTATTCCACGCGGAAATAATTGTACGCACAAATTTGTTTGGGTAATTTTTGTGAATAAACGAGAGACTTTTTGGCATTACTGGTGTTCGGTTGTTTAAATTCTATTACAAGCTATTTCGGCCTTATCTCGGTCTAGTTACGGTATTGTATAAATAAGGGAAAATTCGACAGGGAAGATAAAGAAAGCTAAAAATGGCGAAGAGGCGAGGCACGACAACGAACCAACGATCGATTCGATTTTGTCCAGTTTGGATACCGGTGCTGGAGTCCGGTGATGGTAACCGGCGATGGAGCCCGGTGATGGAGACCGGTGATGGAGCCCGGTGGTGGAGCCCGGTGATGGAGCCCGGTGATGGAGCCCGGTGCTGGAGACCGCGGTTATGGAGCCCGGTGATGGTGACTGGTCGTGGAGCCCGGTGCTGGAGACCGGTGCTGGAGGAGCCCGGTGATGGAGCCCGGTGATGGAGACCGGCGATGGTGCCCGGTGATGGTGCCCGGGTGGTGAGCGGCGAGTGCTCCGGTTTGTTGACCGATTAAGGTGCACGGTTTGGCCGCGGTTTTATGACCGAAGATAATGTTTTTGATAATTTGTGTGTGTGCGTTTTAGTGATCTTGAAGATCAGAGGGGCGTGTGTCAGAAGTGGTATGATTATTGAAGTGCGTGAAATTATTCCACGCGGAAATAATTGTACGCACAAATTTGTTTGGGTAATTTTTGTGAATAAACGAGAGACTTTTTGGCATTACTGGTGTTCGGTTGTTTAAATTCTATTACAATAACATAAAAACGGCGCCCCGCAGGCGCGCCAAATTTTGGGTAGGTACCTGTAGGGAATTGATTGAAGTCTATTGTGACAAAATTTCAAAAAAAAAATCGGTCGGAAAAATTTTTGAGATATCGAGGTTTTAGTGACGTCATGATTTTTGAGTTTTCGACCAAAAACGGCATATGTTCAAAAAATCATATAAAATCACAGAATAGACATACAGACATGCCGTAAACGGCACTAGACTGCCAATACCATGAACAATCAAATGGCTATCTTCGATTATTGATTATCGTTTCGCATTTGCCAAAATCTTGATCTGAATCTTGGCAATTTCTCGTGACTTCTTCACGACCATGATACATACATTTCTTAAATTGAACTTTTTGAGTCAAACACGTACACATATGATAAAATGAATGTCACCATCGTGTTCTACGCCCCATATTACCCATGAGACATGTGTCACAGGCTGCGAATATCAGTTTTTATTTTCGGGGATATGTGCCTACCCGGTTGACCTGATCTTCACCCTGACCTATGCTTGACTGACCCCTACATGGGGCTGACACTCTTGTAGGCCTTATATGATGGATTGTGCACCGTTTTGACAGAGTTTATGACGAGAGGCGCTCATTGCGAAGTCCTGAAGTCCATGCTACTGAAAGCCCGATTTCAGGTGTTTGACCTGACCTTGACCCGAGCTGTGACCTCAAAATTCAACTTTAAAATACTCATCTGAAGCGTCTCGTCGCGTTCTTTCGTTTGCCGCCTCGTGCGTTTCGCTGCGCCTATTGGTTCTCGAGTTATCGGCTGGGGGCGTTTAACCCGCGCCCCAGTGTCAGTCTGGATTTTCCACGACCTGGTGTGGGGGGTGTTTGAACACACCCCCCCCTTCTAACTCGGCTCTTGGGCCACGTATCGACACGCGGTAAGCGGCAATCGAAAGAACGTCAAAAATGAGGACGAAAACACTTCGGTCATTTTTTGGGTCAGGTCAAAGGTCAGGTCACCAGAGGTCACCAAAGGTAAAATGTTGACTATTTCAACATTTTGGAAACTGCCAACGGCTATCTCGGGAACCGATAGAGCTACAGCGCCGCGGAAAAGCGCATTCGATAGCCCTTTTACAGACCTTTCTGAATAATGTTCTCAGATTTGACCTCAGGTCAACGGTTTAGCCTCCAGAGGACAGAAACTCCAAAAATAGCCGTTTTTACGAAAATCGGTTTTTCGGCGATAACTTTTGACTCAAAAGAGCCATGACATTACTTTTTCCAGCATCGTGTTTCTCTCGTCGAGACGCGTCGAATGAACTATAAGTTGACCTTGAAAAGTCAACTTGAAAATTTGACCTCAGGTCAAGGTCATGACCTGACCGGAAAAGGTCATGTTGCATATCAGTCGATCCGCAACGTCAAGCCGAACACATCTAAGGCGTTTTCAGCGCTCTAGCACGCCTCTATCAGAAGTTATTAGCGAAAAACTGTTAGATTCTGTTCGTGACCTGAGATGACCTCGGGGAGATAACGAGGGGGTCACAGTTGCCATTTTCCGGTTCAGTGTGTCAATTTTACCTACGTCTCGATGTTTGAGAGTGTCTAGAATAGCGTTCGTGCAAAACAGACGCTTTTCAATTTTCTCCCATTGACTTATAATGGAGAGGCCGCAAAATTGACCTGACCTTAGGTCACCGATATCAAAATTCCGAGATATACATTTTATAGATACTGTTACCCTTATCAATCGCTGAAAGTTTCAAAGTTATCGGTCACTCGGTGTAGCTATGGCAGACATTGAAACTTTTTATGAGGTGAGGTCACTTCAAGTAACCTGGTGACCTGACCTTGAATGACCTTGGTCTGAAATTTCCACAACATGTGTAGAATTGATGTTTGATAAGGTGTACCAAAAACGGCGGCGCTCCGCGCCGTCGTTTTTGAGATATCTGCGAAAAACCGCACGGGGGGGGGGTGTTCAAACACCCCTCACACTTGGGCGCGGGTTAACGCCCCCCCCCCCCCCCAGCAAACGGTGGGTGGCGAAATACCCCAGCAACTGCCGGGTTAATGTCTGGTCAATGCCTCATCATTCATCACCTGCTTTAGGAAGGCTATTTTAGCCTGTTGAAAAAGGCGTCAAATCCGTTTTTTCAACGACATACAGGTTAGACATACATACAAAGGGCAAACCCTACGCTTTTTAAGGTTATATTTGAAGGTTATATTTGGTAAAAAACAAAAAAAAAAAACTTCCTCTTGTTGTTGCGCCTGTTGCGCCAGTTTCTAGTTCCTTTCTGCACGCACCTTGTTTTTTCGAACCTTTTCTCGCTTGGATTTGCAAACCTTTTGTTAAGCATTTAGGGCAAAAATACGACATACATACAAAGGTGTATGGTATCTATCACACAAATCTCAACAGGAAATTATTTGAATAAGAATGAACATTATGTTTACGCTGAAGCGTCATATGCCGATTTTATCACGGTTATATTACGGAAGGACGGCGTCAGCTTCTAAAATTTAGTGACGCATTTCCGGGCCAAGAGATTATTGAGGTATGGAGGCCGTAAATTCTGTCTGAGCAGGCCGTTCGTGTTAATCAGCCCAGCTATCTCCCTTTGATGGCCTGTGAGGACCGGAAGCCCAGCTAGTGGGTAGCGTCTGATCCTCATGTCGAGATCGTTAGTTTTTCGTTAGAGGGCGGCTGGAAATAGTGTCGGCGATCGGAAGCTGGGAACATTGACGCTGGCACCAGCCGTACGGAGAGGAGGAGCGATGACGTGTTACTACATCGTAAACTAGACCTGCAGGGCCAGCAGCTCCTCCGGCGGGGAGAGGAGAGGGGAGGGGAGAGAAATGTCTCGGATTGATGTGGGTGAAGGGAAATGATGTAGATGTTCTTTGCTAGTCTTTCATCAAGACAGGAATGAGTAGTTAGATATCATCGAACGGTAACCACTCATGGTAAGCTTTTAGGTTAAGTTTTCCTGCTCCCATGTACCAATATTCCTATATAATATTGTATATTCCTATACATGTACCAATATGTACAAGTGATACAGTTCTGCTTGTTTTCCATAATGACATACGAACCAAACCGTGTCCCATATCCCACGTGAACTTCTGCGTATTCTCGTCTGATACAATTTGTCAAATGTTTCAGTAAACATTCCAAGCCAGCGTTCTTTAAGCACCTTACTTCCTAATATATTCATGAGCTCACTGTCCGGTGCGTGCCAGGAAAATGGAAACTGAGGTTTATCTTCTCGTCAGCAGTCGAGTGCTTCCAAGATTAGTATCTCAACGCTACGTCCTCACAACTCAATTACCGCAACACGAAACTGGCCCGGTGGGTGTTTGGAATGCTCTAATTGGTGTGCAGTGTTAAACCTACCACGGCTAATGAACTTTTTTATTTCACCGGAAGTAATGAACGAACGCGGAAGTCTGGTCCTGCAGCATACGCGCCGGATGGGCAGTCAGATGATCAGCTGCGTGACGACTGACGATGGGAGGGGATAGACTAGAAGTGCAAGTCTGGGAGGTGTGTCACTATTTTCTTACTTACAGAAAGGCAGCGGGTTATAAGGGTCATACGCTAGTATAATCTGACTCATGACTGTATGAATCTCATTCTTTTACCGTTTCGTAGGACTGATCAGTTGATCACCCCGAACTGATTTATTCTAGGTATCACTACCAATGAAAACTTTCATGCTGCTAAAGTCAGGGTAGCGTACACAGCTGCAGGTGGCCATGTAGCCTTCCCGCAAACAGGTGTCCACTCGCTGTCCTCTGTCCCCTGTCGTGTTGGGTGTCCTCCGTCGTGTCCGCTGTCAAGAGGTGGTCCTCCCTTCTGTCACCGACACGGGTGGCTGCAGGCGCGTCGTCCTCTGCTCTCGAACAACCCATTGTGTTGGGCTGGCTGCATGCAGTGTGCAGCCCTGGTCAGGTGCAGAGCTCAATGGGCTATACTGGGCAGGCTGACTGTTTGAGGAGTATCCGAGGGAGTCTCCTTTGCCTGATCTACGTTTCCTGGCAGCTGACTGGTCCTCACTCACCTGACCAAAATCCAAAACAGACCTCTCGATAAAGCAGTAAGCACAAGATGCGACCACCGTTTGTAGGCATTTTTTACGTTCGTGTACTCGTGCTTGCTCCCATCTGTTCGACCATCCATAAGTACGTCTGTTCGCCTCTCCAGACCTGTCTGTCCGTCTGTGCGTCTGTCCGCCGTTCCGTCGCTCCGTCGCTCCGTCGTTCGGTCGGTTGGATAGGCAGTGAGTGCCGGTGGGTATCCATCGCCACCCCGGCCACCGCGCGTGGTACGTCTCAGACGCCGTCATACGCCGGTCAGTTATGGTTGGCAGCCTCCTCTGATACTGCACCACCGGCTGCTGCTGCCGGATAGTGCTGCTAACGCCGTAATCTCGCCGACAGTATCGCTCCTCGCAGCTGTACGCTTAGCTGGCAAATCGCAGGCCGATGAACTCGAGTTTTTGTCCGTCTGACTCTGTAACCTATATCGTTTATCATGATGCGCATCTTTTCCTGTGAACGCGGCATTGTACACGGTGTAAGCATAGTAATGAACGGTTTTATTTTTACATAGTGCTTAAGATGTCATTTATGCACAATTAATTTCTACCAAGTGCTCATTTTACCTTCGGGCAAGCGATGACAATAGCTTCATGTCTGTTTGACATGTTATTGTTCATAGGATAAGCGCAGCTAAAAAAGTATATGCCTACTTCTGCACATATTCCGACCGGCGACCACTGCACGTCAATATTATGTTTCAAACACATGTTTCAATGGTACACAATTGTGTGCATGCGCGTGCAATGTGCAACAGTGTAAGTTTCACAAGTGTAACCGTGGTCTCTCTTTCTTCGCAGGCCTGTGCCCCACGCTACGTGTGGTTCTCGAGTAACCAGCGGCGCCGGGAACCCGTAGGAACCTGCTACGTCGCCAAGAACGGCTTCACCGATATCCAGGAGTACGCGCCTTGTCGTACAGGTAATTGTAGACGCACCGACACGGAGATATGGTAGTAAACACGGTAATACGCCCTGCATAATGCCACTCAGTGAAGTCGCACCCATAATTCAAGAGGGCACATTAAAATGAAGCGCAGAAAGACGAAGTTGACTAATGGTCAAATGTTTGCGTTAAAACTCACGATGGGAAGATAAACGTTAGACAGATACAACGACGGCGGTTTGCGTATATCCGACATTTGTTGATGATCAAATGCATGATTCATGTAAGCACGAGGAAACTTACCATTTGTTAAGCTTCCTCGATGGAAGCCCACACATTTGCAAACGGTACATATTAAATATATCGTCCGTAAATAACTGATAGCGCCTTTCATGCACTCCCAATGTCCGCCTCCTTCATTACAAGTGTCTCGTTTCTGCCGTCAGCGGACTGGGGCTACCATCGCCAGGGATCGTGTCAGTCGGGCTACGGCACTGCAATCAGCAAGGTAAGCGCACCGGGACGGTGTCCGCCGGTCATATCTCCGTTCCCCTCCACCCGACCTCCTGCGTGACCTGTTCGCGGTCCTGTCCACTCGCGGAGGGTCGTCTTCGTGCTTCTAGCTCCGTCCCATTTGATAAACTCCTGCTCCGGGCCTGGCTCCGGCTCCAGCTCCGGCCCCGGCTCCGGTCCGGCTCCCGGGCCGCAGTGGTCCGACCCGTCCCTGCTCCGGCTCTGGCCCAGCCCCGGCTCCGGCCGCGGTAGTCCGACCCGTCCCTACCCCGGCTCCGAATTCGACGCACACCGCGCGGCTCGTCACCGAGTAAAAACGGGGCGGGCCGCTCGTAAAAAGCCACGTGGCGTGCGGCGGGCCCTCTGACCGCGGTGATGACGGCCTGTGCATGGTAACGCGACGGCGGCCAGATGACAGCCGCGAGATGAATGGATGATAGCGCCGTGAGTCATCCAGCAGAAACACGATACGGGTAGTGTGGTTCGGATTGTTTTAGCAATGCTTTCAGATGGAAAATAAAGAACTTGTTGTTTTCACCACGATGCAACTGGTGTACAGACACCAGTTGTTAGCACATGAACAAATGCTGTATACAAATGTGTATGCTGTATACCAGGGCATAAATAACAGATGCAGTAATACCAGCTTTATACTCGTGATTTACGACAATCCGATAAAATGTGCCAAACAGCGATTGCATTCACAATTCAATGAATGTCGGCATTTTATTTTCGAGCAATATCGTTGAGCTAATTTTTCGCACTTTATTGGCACCGAGAGCTTCATATTTCATCCAATAACCGCAGCTGCTGCAGTAGCTTACCTCCAAAACAAATTTATCGGAGATTATGTCTTAACCAGTGAGCTGCATCAATATTTGAGCCGACTACTGCGGTGCACCTCGGGGACGCATAACACGTCCGTTGCGCACAACTAATGGGCTGATTTCTGCGGTCAGCTGTGAATGATACGACATTCGGCACAGAGCGAATGCCGGGGACGATTTGCGAAACAGCGTGTTTGTGCGAACAACATACGGCACCTGAGGTTAGACCGATCCGGTGCAGATGCAGATTGCAGGACAGGATTTGCGTTTAAGTTATTTGAATCAATATTGCAGTACAAGTAGCAGGCGCGACATCCGTGAAGCACCCCATTCAAGGACGTTTCCAGTTGTATTCATACGGGTTGTGAAGAGCTTTCCGGATGTTATGTAAAATGGAGGCGAGAATCAGGACAGAGGACCGCCCAACAGGCCGTAAGAAATAGCAGAGAAGTGGGACGCATCTGCAAATACTCTTCACATAAATTGGAGTAAATTGGAAGCCAAACGCTGTAAATCTTAAGTGATTTCACATGTTCCAGCAGCTCATTTAATCTTAAAAGATCTTAAAAGACAAGTAAAATAGGTTACAGTATGTCGATTGCAGTGCTAAGACAAGCCGCCTCTCTGGGCCGAGGGTCGGTCGTGTTTATGTTTCCACGGCGGGGGGTGGGCAGGGGCGGACAGGACCCCACTGGGGCCGTCGCGCGGTCGGTCGCTCGGCCATCCAGCCGCACGCACAACTGCCCGACAGGACCATTTATCAGCGACGGCACGTGCGGTACCCTGGAGACCAGCGAGCCGGCGGGCACCACGGGACGGTGTCGACCCCTTCCCGAACGCCATCCAGCCGACCGGCCGCCTCATTCTGGTCCACTGGAGACCAGCTGAGAAGGGAGGGAAGGAGTAGGGTCTGGGGATCGAGCCCTTGAGCTCCGAGCGCGGTGATCAGACGGCCTTTGTGTAGTGATTGCGAGCGAGCCTCATCCAGTCAATGGAGGTTAACGGTGGATGGTTTTTGTGGCGTGCTTATAGAGAAGCATAAGGCCCGTTTATGTGGAGGACAACGTATTAAAAAGATTGTCCTACCCAATCCCTCAATGAATGTCACTATCCAGCGAGCATTTGGTGGGCTCAGGGGCCAGATGCGAGCTCTCAACACTTGGTACGTACATTTCGTCATCAAGTGTCAGCGCTGGGGGAACATTAGGCTAGCGGGTGCAGAGAGAGACGGCCAAGTCGGGACGAGTTATGTGTCGTGCACGCCCCACTGCCAGGACAGCTGGAGTCGGTTTCCGGCGATTGGAAACGGCACGTGCAAACGACCGTTTTACGCTACTTGCATCAGAGCAACTCGGAATTACATCCAATGAGAATTTGTCATTCAGCTAGCTGGCAACTTATGGACGGTTCGTATTTACGTAGCATAATTACATTAATATTTCTACGACTTGTCAATACATTCCGCTTTTGCAGTTTATATCAATTTCAGGAGCAGATACGAAACATTATTTGTATTGCATGCAACGAATTGCATTCTATTTCCAAGTATTCAATTTTACGGAACTTTAACCGAGGTAGATTCAGCCCACTTCCGCATTCCACATGCAGTTTGTAATCGCCGAGGCCCGATAGTTCTGTGATCTGGTGGGCTGTCAGGCGGCTGTCACTTCCAGCCGAGTCTGGCCAACCACTGCGCAGCCGTCTGTCGGAGGCGGGCGGGCGGAACAGACCGCGGCCACCGACACCGAACCGACTTCTGACACGACAGGCCACTAACTGGGGCGAAACCCTGACAGAGCTGAGTGACGCACATCGAACTGACTTCCCTCCGAATCATCTGAGGCACACCTGGAGCCGCCTATCGCTCCAACAAAGACTTCACCTCTGACCTCTCCTTCCCTCTCCGTTCCCTTCACCCACCTCTGTGCATTAGACCTCACGCCCTGCAGCTTTGTCTCTGCTATCAGCGACAAACCAGACCGGCGCGGGAGCGCGTCACCCTGCAGCGCAGCTGGCCAGGTGCCGGTTTTTGGAGGAGGACGGCTAGCACGCGCCGTCGATCAGGGAGACTTTTTGCCGCCAGTCTGAAAGCTGTGCCGCCGGCCGAGGGGGGACGAGGGACCGTCGTTGTCGTCGTGTGCCGCGGTCGTCACCGGCGACGCGCCTGTTCTGATCAAGTGTTTTTCGTCGGCAGGACGGGGATCGTTTGTTCGTCGGTGCCGTCGGCAGCTGGTACTGGCAAGGTGAGTCGCAGTCGACGCCAGCTGCTGCGCGGAGAGCGGAAATGGAGCGGGGGAGGTGGTTACGGGTTTAGGGCGCCACAACTGCACATGCTTTGGTTATGTGACACCCATAACTCCAAAAGTTAACGCAAACCCCCCCCCCCAAAGGCAGCTGTGGAAACACTGAGAAATTCCAGTAATACGGCATACGAAGCGACAGGAAAACGCTGTTGCTGCTTAAGCTTTTAACAGCTAGGGAGGCGAGGTATTTATTTATCTTTCACCACGCTATGAAGCCATAGGTCGTAATAAGTCTGCTGGAAAAGTGTCCGGTCATCCGACAGCTGGACTTTGACGGACACCCGATGGCGTTCTAAGTATCTTTCATAAACAAAGTGCCAGCTCGGAGATAAAATCAAACAGACGTGTGTGTAATTCAGCATAATCACGCTATACTTTCTTTAGGCTTTGCATAGTAATGTCATCACCCAGCCGGCGCCTCTTTCACCTCTTGGCGACTAGCTCTCACGGGCATAGACACCTCCGCTGACAGTTGCAGCGCCCATAGCGCCGACCGCCTCCTGTCGTGCCGGAGCGCACTCACCACCCGTTCCGCTCCGTCGAGTCCGTGGTCCATACGGCGTCACGTCCCGCCCGTCCGGGCCATTATGCCAATATAAAGCCCGGTCGCCACGATCAGAGTGAGTTGTTATTCTGCCAACTTCATTAGGCTGATGACGCGGCCAAACTCGGCGGCATAACTCAGGTCGGCGCGGCAGGGATTGCGCACCGCCGCCGGCCCAGTCGATCTCATCTATTTGTCCCGTGTACTCGCGCTGCCGCCCGGCCGCCGCCTCCAATTTGAGACTGCACGTGTCGGCGGCGACGGCTGGCAGCGGCCGGTCGGCCGGGCCGCGGCGAGGAGGAAACCCAGCTGGCCCGGGCCGCGAACTGAAACAGCCGGCCGGCCGGCGGGCCTGTTGGGCGTCCGCCAGCGGTGCCGGGACGGAGAGGAAGGGGCGACGGAGAGGGTGACGGGCCAACCACGTGGCCAGTGCTCCTCAGCAGTGCACGGCTTAACGAATGGATGCACAGGAAATGTTCCACACAAGATGCCAAACTGCCGCCGCTGGCGACGCCAGAGCACCGCTGCGTGGACATAAAGACAAAACATCGCGGAACCGGGAAACATGAGCCCTAAATACGCGAGCCCTAACGCATGTTTCGCAGAAACCGACATTGGGGATGGGCTAAAGGTTAAAACTACAGTGTCCCAGTCACCCATTGAGTGTTGTTTCATGTCACTGGTTCGACAACCCACTAAGAGCGCTGTCGATTCTCCCTTTTGATCGGGCCGAAGACAATGGGTTTAGCATTCAGCCCAGTACTCTGGCCAAATGACACACGAACTATCCATATCAAACGGTCAGCTCAATTGTTGCACAAACAATACATTCAAAACAGCAGGCACAATGCATGCAACTGAGAAAATGGCTGCCTGATGTTGGCTGCTGGAGATGTTGTCAAGCCTTATAACCACTCTGAAACAAGTCACTCGAGATAGTCATCCGCGATCCATCTCATTTCATAACGTTTAATGGTATTTCGGTGTCTCGATTAGAACATCATTTGTTAAATGTTGGCCCAATACCATCAAGACGAGTGAAATTTATCGTCTGACAGAAAATACGTACGTTTCGGGAGGCCATAGTTTTTGCCAAGCAAACCAAGCTTTTTATTGAATTCAATTGGCCAAATTTTAAAGGGACTATCCCACCTTTAACATGGGGTTTGAGTTGAGATAGCCAAGTTTGCGGCGAGGTTCAGAAACCACTATCTATCTAGGTTGCAACCCCCGCGGCCTCTTGGTGTTGAAGAAATTCGTTCCCTTCATTTGAAAATGAGCCTTGCGCAAGGCCCTATCTTCAACATGGAGCGACCGTTAGTGTGACGTCACCTCGTTTAGTCATTCTGATTTAAATGGGTTTGTTCGTTGAAAAATCGCTTAAAACTTGGTCTGAACTTTGTTGTGGTGCCTACAGAGTAAAAAGAATCAGCTTTATGACAGTAATGTGGCCGGGGGAAGGAGGTAATTTTGGGCTGTGACGTCACATATTTGAAAGTTTGTGTTTGGAATATGGGAAGCCTAAGATGTTTAATGAAAAATAAATGCCAGAACCGTGTTCCTGGTCATCCAATCTATAAAGTCGGGCACAATTTAACTGGTTTTAACAGCATTTTAGAAGGTGGGATAGTTCCTTTGACCCTTCGACGCGGTTGGTCAACAAGTGGCAACCAGTCGAATGATAAAATCATAAAAGTACTCGAAATTACTTCCGAAATACGAATAAAAACCTATTGCCTTTTATTTACACCATTAGAAAGATGTAGGTGAATTCTTTACTGGGCAATGGGCATGATACAGTGTGATATATGCCTCGTTTTCCAACTTCCGTCGTCCACAAACAATGTCTGCCTTGACCCAGGTCACTGCATGTGGGCGACAGTTACCGACCGTCGGCCGCAGCCACTGGGCCTGTCAACAACAACACTCGGCGCGCGTCCCGGCACCAGCGCACCGTCTGTTCTGAGAGCGTCCCGACAGCGCGCTGACGGCGACGACAGCGTGCGCCGGGATGGCCGCACTTTTTGCCGCCGACTGTGTACAGCCGCGCTGGGTTTGTCGGCCAGCGCCGGGATTGTGCTCTGACGTAACGCAGCAGAACAGTACGATAAAATACTCGTCAGCTACTGCCTACTAAAAAGAATTCTAGATGGATAATATTGCATATTTAAGCAATACATTTACCTATTATTCGAGATGTGCTAAAAGATAGCTATCTGACAAAGCTCTATTTCAGTGTTTACATGATTAAAAGGATACAGAAGAAGCAACCGATTAGATGATAACGACCAAATTTTTTTATCGCTTGCGAGGCTTATTTAAAATAATAGCCATAACCAATAAGCGGTTAATATTAGTGCTGATGGATAACTAGAGGTAATGTCATCAGGATGAAATACTGCACTTTAATGAATGACGTGATTTGCATCAACGATATATTCCGGACTAATGACTGAGTGAGTCATCAAAGTTGTTGATGCAAACTTCTCATCATTCAGCATATAGTATACATGCTTTGTAAGAAATGTGGCTCACCGACGGCAGCATCAGCTAAAGCAAATTTATTCTATTTATCAATTTGAATGAACTTTCGTGAACTTTAAAAAAACTTAATTTTATCAGCCATTTCTTTCTGGTAATAAACCCATCCAACATATTGTATAAAATTGTTCAATGCATTGTATCTAGCAATTTTAAGAACTTTTACAGGACTTATGAGGCAACTACTTTCATTAATTCATATAATAATTAGCAATCACCGAAATGAAACATGTGTTACATATACCTTCCTTACCAACTGCAAATCTTCTTTTCTACGGTAAATTGCCCCTCTCACAAATCTCATTTCGAAATGTATCTGTCATCTGGATTGGCCCGCTTCCGATAACTAAGGAGACAGATCAAGAACTTTTTTCAGACAGCCTTGCGCCTAAAATTTCGCACATCTTCAGTCCCCGCTCACATACCGCTCCAAGGCGCAGCGCGGTAAGGCGCAGTTGCAGAGTTATTGCTCGTCAGGGGTTGTAGCTCGCTCACAGCTTTCGTTAGTGCCACCTGCAACAACGCAGCCCCATGTTTTGCTGGCACCTGTTCCTGTCGCATCGTGCCCAGCGTTTTTAATCACCCGGCGATAGTCATAACTTAGATCCAGCTCAGCTGGCGCGAGAAGGAAAACACATTTTATTACGCCGTTAAAACCCTTTTTCCATTTGTCTATGCTCGGAGAGACATTTCACAACCGTTACACGTTAGGTGGCACCCTGCTGCTATCCGACCCAACACGGCTCACCTTTCAGTGACCTGACCTGACCCGAGTACAGCCCTCCTCTCTGGACCAAGTGTAGCCCCATCGGCGTGTACCCATCTCCACCTTTCCATCGATTGATTAGGTGCCAGCCACCGCCGCCAGTCTTTTTGCCGGCTGTTTTGATTGGAGCCGAGAGCCGGCGCTATTTCATGCCGACGCCGACCCGTGACGTCTGAGACGGCGGACGCGGAGGTTCACTGTTTTGTGAGCCACTGCCGGTCCAGACAGACGCGGAGCCGAGTCACGCATCGCGCCCGATCTCGGTCAGTGCAGCGGTGGCTTCTTCTCGAGCCAAGGTGTCAGCACCTTCCGTGTCACGTGACGTGACTTTATCACAAAACTGCTGACCAAAAACCTGGCGAGATGAGACGCGAGGACAGGGAAGTGTCTGATGACTGATAATAGTACGCTTCTATCTGCATTCTTCATCCCGAGTCGTAGATATCACGAATTAGTAACATAATGCACGACGCGCGGACCCGGGACCACGCAGCTGTTTGTCAGGTCAGGCTCCAGTCTGAGTCAGTCTGACTCACTCTACTGGTCGGTATTCGGTCAGGCAGTCGTGGCCCCAGGTGGTGTTGTTTGTGGCGCTACATGAGCACATCCTGCATAACAGCTTCGAGTATGACCTCGCACGGCATCCCATGCCCGAGCCATGCGTCATAGCATTGTCCTAAGTGGGGTCAGGGTTGATAAATGTACGGCAGTCTCTGCAACGTCAACAGGTGATCACATCCGCATACGTCACTGGCTTTGATAGAGTTTTGTCACTGCAGGACTGGGCAGTGAACGAGCCTGCATTACAATAGTCCTTGCTATAAGTTATTCCAAATTTCTCCAAGATGCGACGTTCAGGCCTAAAGTCGCCGAATGACAACACTCCCACTTTGTTCAGCTTTTGCATTTATTCCCTGTACGTACGTCCACGGCACACGCACTGTGCAAGTAAAACGTTGCACTGCAGTTACAACAGGACACTAAATCATACTGGGCCATTAACGATGACCGCCGAATGTGCCGCTTACCGAGGAGAACAAGTAAGTATATCAACCTGTGTCACCAAGCTCTCAGCTTCTGCCTTCTTCACGCAGAGCTCAAACATCGTAAGCGGCCTGAGCAGAGTCACGTTTGGTGTTCTCGCAACGTAACCGGGTGCTCAACGTCTGTGCTCTCCAGCAGCCTAACAGTGTGCTCAGCAGTCGCGTGTTCCGCCTACGCCACAAAGCGCGCCGCTCTGCGCTGCTGAATTGCTAACCACCCTGTCTCGATCTGACCACCCTCTCCCCGCGCGGTATCTCTGTTTGTGTGTGCGTTGTGTGTGAGAGGTGGACAGGACCGACATGCCTTGGCTTTCCCAGTATCCTGTCGCCACTGTGTTGCCCAGTGTGTCCGTTTCTGTACGTCCCTCTCCCGGCAGGTCAGCTCTACAATCTACCTATTCAGGCGGCGCGGCCCCTGCCGCCACCACAGTACTTTAAATCGTCGAGGATAGGTAAACTTCGGCACGTTACAGACGCCGCATTTTCGACAGCTATGCTCCTCATCTGTCGTCATTCATAACACGGCGGCCTTCGCGCCTTTGGCAGCACCACTAATCAACGGCTAATCTCTCGAATCCCCGACCAGGCCCGGTGGGTAGCGCATCTGGTAGCCGTTTTCAGGAGCCTGTTCGCCGTCCAAATGCCTGATATGAGAGACAGATGGAGTGATTTGATTGGCGATCGGTGTTGGGCTCGTGAAAACGGCTGCCAGTCCGCCCTGGGCCTGGGTGGGGTGGCCGAGCACTCTGCACCATGGCGACTGCCGATACACAATCACAGCGGAATGAGACTGGCAAACAACAGAACAACACAACACCAGATAGGAGGAAAGTATTCATGATCTATTTGCTTGAATAATCGATGACATTTACACGTAGTTCGATAGCTTCTTTTGTTACTCAGTACATTCACTTATCTAAGAATTCAGGCATGCTGCTCTGCTGCATCACACCAACATAATTATTTGCTCGTTACTTGAGCTTCCGCTTCACAAAACCATTCGGCGATGTATACACCATGCACAATGCACATTGCAGAGAAGCCTACTTAGAGATGCATCTATTCACGTCTCTTGTCAATGCTTTAGAGCGAAGCACGAGTAGAGCTTTTAAGCTATACGGAAACAGAAGATTGTTCAATCTTTCAAAAGTTATGTTTCGTATACATTTCCACGAATGCAATTCTTGCCGCAAATACTCGCATGCTATTCACTTTTATTTTGTTGTGGACTTTATTTAGTTATGCGTTTATAAAGGTGTATTAAATTTGCAATATGCTTATAAACGAGCATAAATACGCGAATTTTCACTAAGACTTTTCAGCAACAGTAGAAGCATAGCAACACATTTCCATTCACTTTGTGATTTGGACCGTGAACTTCCGGTTACATATGTTTACAAGGCGATTTACGAGTACTTGAGCAATAACACGTTTGACCAATGTTTATGGATGATCTGGTACAGACTGTTGATAAGGAGTGCACTGTACCCTGTCAATCACACCACTCCTACATCTATCTTGGTAACCTGAACGGACAGCTGTTTGCCTGCGACTTTTATGGAGCGATATAAGACCAGGTACTCTCCGTTTTGACCTCTGTGACCCAGCGAGGTCACTGCTATTCTTTGTTGCCATATCCATCGCGGGTATCTGACTTTCAGAACTGTTCGCCCATGCATTTCTCTGAAGGCCCTGATTACCCGGAATGACCTAACGACCAGCTTCTAGATGCATTTCGTTCCCTTTGAACCCCGTGACCTGACCCGGGACTACCTATCTGGCCACCGATCAGACCTGAGTGACCGACTCTTTGAACTTTGGAAAAGGTCACATGCTAACATGAACTGTTTCGCTGCTCGACGGTCTAAACAACAGGCCGAACATAAAAAACAACGGGCATATCGGCCAAACTAACCCCATCGGCGCCCTCCCCAGTCTATCTCTGTTCCACTCTGACCTCCGCTCCCTGACCCCAGGTCAGCTGTTCAGCCAGCACCTGTACTCGCGTCCGGATCTCTCCGGAACCGGCGAGGGCCCCACCTCGCAGGATGACAGCTACCTGGGCTACTCGGTGGCCGTCGGGGAGTTCAACGGGGACGATCAGCAGGACGTGGTCACTGGCATGCCGCGCGGCGCCAACCTCACCGGAAAGGTCAGTTCGCAGAGAGATCCAATGATTGGTCAGAGATTGAAGTTTGTTTGATGCATGGTTTGTTTATTTTGAGCACGAAGAATCGCTAAAAATAGATGGTTACGAGACTTTTACCGAATTAATAAACTGGATGCTCACCCTTGCCCCAACTGGTCCATTTTCCCAACGATAGCTTTTTTACACCGAGATTCTGAAGCTGTTAGTTGACGATCCTCGTTCTCGCGACCCCCAGTCCATTGACCATTGTTAAATTTTTATTCCCCGACGATTCAATACTTCAAGCCCTTGAATATAGGATATTTTATAGTTTCAACATCTTCTTTTGGCAGGTGGTTCTGTACGACAGCAATCTACGGAACCTGTTTAACCTGACCGGCGAGCAGATCGGCTCCTACTTCGGCTACTCAGTTTGTGTGGCCGACCTGAACGGGGACAAACTGGACGACATCGTCATCGGCGCGCCCTTCTACACCGACTACTCCAACACGGAGGGGAAGTACGAGACCGGCAGGGTCGTCATCGCCTACCAGAGCAGCCAGGTGAGTCTGAGACGTCCGTTGGCCCGTAACTGTGGCCTCATGCCAACATTGCACAGTGCACACTGCACCGGGTCCATGTCGCAGTTATCTGCCGCCGGCCGCCGCGCCTAATCATCCACCGCGGAAGTGCTCAGCACAGTGACACATCGACCACATTTCGGCGCCGTGTCAGCCTCTGGCGTCACATGTGACCGCGCTGAGCCGGTGATAATGTGCCAGTTGGCAGTGTGTGCACGCACCCCGCTCCAACTGGCGGCTGCAGCGAATGGTAGGTTGCAGGAGCGACCCGCTGCGAGCGCGACCGCGCGGCGGCGGAGGCGGCCGCGACGGCGGCGGGAGGAGGCTGATGACGCCGTGACCCGCCGCCGCCGCTGAAGCCACCAGACGCCTCGACGGTCTCGGCGTTAGCCCGTGCATCACATGACGCCTCTACTTCATTAGTGATCGTGACACTAACGGTAACCATAGAGAGGCTTGAAGCCGACTCAACAGCCGTGTGCGGAGCCGGTGCGAGCGACTTTAGCGAGTGTCATTTGAGCGAACGTCATTTGAGCGAACCATTTTCAGCGAATGGCAATTCAGCGATTATCAAGTTCAGCGATTATCAAATATAGCGATTATCAATTTTAGCGAAAGCTATGTTTCAGCGACATCTATTTCGTCGACTACAATTTGAGCGACTGCCAGTTCAGCGAAACACTTCATCGTCCTGTAACGTTCTTTTTTTGCGAGCGTATACGCGCGAATGTTTTCGGAATATCTCATGGTTATCCGGAACTGGATGGCGAATGTCACGTCCAAAGACCTCAGACATTGAGCTCCAAATGTAATGCTACATTTCTTAACAATTCCAACGGTTGAATTTCACCCCCTGCTCTTTATAGAATTTAACAAATAGAATAGTTATATTAAGTTTTGTCCAGACGGTACCTACTCATAGGCGGCGGAACGAAGGGGGGTACCGGGGCACCGTGCCCCCCTTGATTTTGGCATTTTAACATTAGCCCTATGGGCGTTGCATGGAGAGAATGAGACCAAAAGTCGGCGGTGCCCCCCTTAATTGAAGGTGTTCCGCCGCTACTGAACGGTAGCCAATCCATTGTATTTAATTTTGTCTTTACCTCTGGTGGATTACAAACTGTTAGGTGTTATCATGACGTATGATATAAAACAAAAATTTAAAAACGAAACGTTGCAAGATCAATGATTAAACGTTGCGAAATGAGGCCTGATATTTTTGTGGTTTCAGGTTTCCAACAAGATTACTAGAACAAGATAACAGATTTTCAAGATAACAGTCGCGCGCAGCTTGAAGCATAACACAAACCAAACGGGTATTCAAAGGGCAAGAATTTCCGAAAAGTAGAAATTATTGACTTTCGTCGCGTTCGGTTTCGCTGCAACTCTATTCGCTCAATTGGTCTCCCATTGACCACCATATATTCGCTCAATCTGGTTTCGCTGATTCTGGTCCTCGCTTACGTTGATAATCGCTGTGATTGAATTCGCCGACTTGACAATCGCTGAAAAAGTCAATCGCTTAAATTGATAATCGCTGAAAATGTTTCGCTCAAATGTCGTTCGCTGAAATGACGCTCGCTCAGGTGTCGCAGAACCGTGCGGAGCGGCTGGGCCGAGCTTAGCGGTGTTAGTGGCTGACCTGACCCGGTCGGACCGTGTTTAAAACTCAGCGGGAGGAGTTGGTTGGCGATGACAAGGGAGGCTGCCAGCGAGGTCGCACGGGGAGGGTCACTAGAGACGGCAGCGGCAGCCTCTCAGGTCGGACTCTAATTGCAGGCTGTTCAGACCCTGGGTCACAGTGTCAGCGGACCCGGAGCTGGGCAGCGATTGGTCACCGCAGCGACTGCCGTTGTCGCTGTGATTACGGTCCATTTCATGGGTTAGTGCGCAACAATTGCAGACGGTCGGCAATCGTCGCCACACCTTCGTCACAGTGGCGTCTAATTTGTCGTCAGCCGGCACCTGTCGGGGTGATGAAGGGAAATGATGCGAGTCTCTTCTCTCAGCACTGTTTGCGCTGGGTTAATTCTATGTTTTGACTGTCACTCAGACGGAAAACCATTAATCAAATGTGAGCAAGGCCTGCATTCCAGCGACAGATTGCTCAAACTCCTGTCGCTTTTTCATCCTCCGGGCTAAACACAATTGCTGAGACACGCAGACTGGCAGATGTAGGAACGATCGAGTCAGCAGGCACCTGTGAATGAAATGTGATCATTATTATTCGGCGTGTGCTGATCAGCCCCTCCCACCAGTCAATCGTAAGGCGGGACGGTCATAAACAGCAGAGAATGACGTGCGAACCTACACTTACTGTCGACGGTGACGTTTTCATTGTGTGAAGGAATGTGGAGAGTGGGTCGCCGCAGCCAAATTAGTATACTGTTCGTACTATTATAGGTGTTAGATATAGCACGTATGAGCCTGTCAGAGATCCAATGAAACGTAAATTGTTTTGCACGATCTTCCCGCCTTCATTCTTACTGCGGTTTTTCATATAATTATTTGTCCATCTCAGTATATCTTGATCACGTTTTACGTTGCACGCTGCTTTCCTCAGCCATTTATTGCGCAAGAAAAGTATCGCTTACGCTTCATCTAGCTTGAAAGATGGCGATAACAAGTAACTAGGGCGATGCGTAATCCAATTTAGGCGTAAATATCACGTCGATGGCCGCTTTTGATGATAATGTTTTGGTCTTGAACACCTCATTCCCTCTGTTTATCTCTCCAAATTGATGCGTATGGCTACGGTGACAGCTTTCAACGCCATCAAACCAGATAGTTCGGTGGCTAACGGAGCCCTGATAGCGGCCAAATAAAGTCATCACTCTGAGATATGGTAGCACTGGCTACCACCCGACCACGCCATTTGCTGGTCAACGCGCGGCATGTGCTTCCTTGGCCGTGAAATAAATCAGATTAATTTCGTCGTCCATCAAACGGAACATGACCCAAACACGAGCCGCTTTTGTGTGAACACCGAGCTGTTGTGGAGACTTCGCCCCCTGGAGACTTCGCCTTCAAGTGGTGGGGGGTGTGGACCTGGGGCTCGCCTCGGGTCCGCCCCGGCGCCGGCCGACTCCGGTTCCGGGGAGCCAAACGAAGTCACGTGCCCTCTCCGGGGCGCAGCTGGGGGTGGCTGCCCGCCGTCGCCGGCTGCTCTCCCGGACCTCCTCCTACCGGAAGCTACTCTCCAGCTAGCTACACCATCCACCCGGAACCGGAGGAGGTCCGGGAGACCGCCGTGGTGGCGGCCCTGGCGGCGGCCGCCAGAGGCGCCCAGAGCCGACAGGCTACACTTCATTAGAAGCGGAGGGAAGAACAACAACAACAACAGCTGTTGTGGAGCTCCCATGACCCAGGGTGACAAAAACTCTGTTTCTTTCCAGCACCTGTTCAAGCGGTTCGACTTCCTGGACGGAACCAAGTCCAAGTCGCGGTTCGGCCTGGCGCTCACTTCCCTGGGCGACATCGACTGGGACGGATACCAAGGTAAACTCAGACCCTGACCCGCTGGTGCACCTACACGGAAAGAAATATAGTAAATGTCCGTAACAGACCCAGCCATCGCTCTGGTTCGCTGAACTTGTAATTCCACAATATGCATGTTAATATAAATCGTTCATACATTTTCATGCACATTTGACTAACGGAAATTGAAATCTCGGCGGCTGCTTGAACCGTAAATTTTTATTCATGTTTTAAAAACGCACGAGAGTGGGTGCTTCGCCTCTTCAGTGGCGCCACTTCGGATCATGATTGGCTCCCTGCTCCCGCTGAGAGAAAGCACGGGTGGTAAATCAGACGCTAATGGATGGGTGACCCCGCCCTCCCGCCCCCGATATCTGTTCAACATCGCACTCATGTGCCGACACGCGCTCATAACCGGACAGCGAAAACCACTCAGTTTTCCAGCTTCACCATGAAGCTCGTGACTGCACGGCATAGAACTGAGGAAGGTCATTTTCAACGTAACGTACTGCAGCCGGAAATGGACTAGGCGTGCTGATGAACACAGCTCGCAAATGTGTCCAAAGTGATGATGAACACAGATTGAAAGACCACCAAGCTTCAGCGAGCACTCTCAGGAGACACATGTACTCCGAGTGCCGGTCAACATCCCACGAGAGTGCCTCCGAACACGGCTTCAACATATCCTGCAAATGACCTCTGCAGCGGGTGCATTAGCGACATCATCTTGCCGCTAATGCAGGTCGGGTAATGGTGGATCCATCAGGGGCGACCTTGTGCCGTCCACACCGCTGCCCTGGAGCCGCGGAACGGCGGCATAAACAAATGTTTGGTGGGCAGGCCGCGTGTCTGCCCGACCTAATACGGCACACACACGCGACACCACACTTTTGCCGCGGCTAATCTGATCCACGCCCTGACACGTGACCTACCCGCCCCGGGGGCAAGGGGTGACCGGGGGCGCCGCCGGGTCACCGGGTGACCTGAGGGTGGTACGGGGTCACGGGGAGGAGGCGATCGGGAAGCGGAACAAGGCAGACTGTGTTCGTACGGCGGCACGGCGCACTGTGGACCGGGATAAAGGGGATGTTAGCCACATAATTTACACTGGCGAGCCGGGGTCGGCGGGGTTAACTGATCTGTCGGGATGGTCGTAGATAAGGTCGGAGCGGGTGGTAAGAGGTAAGGACTAAGGAGAGCACGTGACGCCATAGACCGGGTAGCATGCACTGAGCACTCATTTCCACAGTATGTATAGCAGAAGTAGGAACTATGCAACTGGAAGTAGTTAGAAACTGTATATAGGTACAATAA